ATTTGTTTTTTTACATAAAAAATTAGCAAACCGTCCAGCCATAAAATTGGACGTTACCTTCTCGGAAAAAAAAAAAAAAAAAAAAAATAGGGGTGGTGACAACATACCTAAGTATTTGCTATTTAGTAATATATATATGTACAGATTTGCTTTGTGTATACAAATGGTGTTGCATTGGCTTTTACCTAAATCTGTGCTCTACTTGGACCAGTTTCTCCTGTAGTAGAAGATTATCCAACTTTTGTTTCTTATAACTTTTGTAAAGCTCACTCATCTTCCAATTCAGGTGCTCCATCATTTTGACAGCATTTTTGTGCTTGGTCTTGTATTGAGTCGCCTCTTTGTGGTAGCCTGTAATTAAAAATAGATATTCAAATCAAAATAATATCTATATAAATTCAAATCAAAACTACATTATTTCAATTAAATTTTATTTTATCAAATAAATATACATTAAATGACAGTGTGAAATGGTCAGTATGAAATGTAAGTAAATAGACAACATATATGGAAATTTAGAGAAATTAAGAAACAGGCAAATACAAGAATAAAGTTACACAGTTCAGTTACACAAGTAACTTATTAATACTGCAAAACATAAAGACACACCCCAGTGGAACAACAGACCCCGTGGTACTCCCCCCAACCCTGTGGTGCCCCCCCCCCCAACACTGTGGTATTCCCCCAACCCTGTGGTACTCCCCCAAACCCTGTGGTGCCCCCCCAACACTGTGGTACCCCCCTCACCCTGTGGTGACCCTCTTGTAAAGAGGTAGTTTTCCAAATATATGTTATCATTATTACAGTAATACTACAAACTATAAAAACACCTCTGACTGTGAAACAAATTAATCTGTTGATCTGATTGCATTCATCAAGATTCCCATGGAGTTGGATCGATCTAAGTACTAGTAGAGCAACAGTTTCCTTGGGAATGAACCCTAAGTGTTGTTGTTACATGTCTACGTACTCTGCACTATTTGGTTATGTTTGTTCAACAACTCCTTGACCAGATCCTCCATGGACCTAGAAACACTGCTGTCGTTGCCATGGTTATTGTTGCTAAGACTACTGCCAAGGTCTTCTGCAGGCTTCATGAGACTGGTGTCCTGCAATCGGTTGCCAGGGCTAGTACTATTATCTGCCTCTGCCATCTTGGTTTTCTTAAACTAAAATGATAAATGCAGAAAATGTAATAACTGGGGTAGCACTAACACTCGCCAATTTAGCCAAATGCTAAAACTGACTTAAATAGGCTAAAGAAAAAGGGTTTGATCTGACATGTTTTAGCCAAATTATAACCATTTTGGTAACAAATTGACAAAAATGTGGTGATTTGGCTAAGCGAAAAAAAATTGCTAGCGCAACCCCAGAATAAAATAACATTTAATGTCGCTGCAGTTTTGTTTCCATCACTCCTTTTAACATAATCATGAGTGTTTGAGGCTGGTTACTTACAGGTACGTACAAATACATTATGTGATCACTGAATCGTCACTTTTCTTTTCCAAAAGGCATCATAACTTATCAGAGAGAGAGAGAGAGAGAGAGAGATAGTTTTGTGTTTGCTAAAGCTAACAACATATATAAGAATGGCCATAGTGCCATATTGGACTGACCTGGACTCTTGACCAACTGATAATCATGAGTCGATTACAAATTAAAAACTCAGGTGAGCTTCCCAAAGCCAAGGCAAAGCTGCCCCGTTTATCAACTTACCTTTTTGCACGATCCTTTATCTTCTGTTGTATGAGATCTTAAGCTAATACTGAATGCTGAGCTACAATGGGGGTATTTATAATCTCAACGGATGCCGAACTGCAAGGGGGAATGTTTATATCCTTCAGAAATAGAAATCACAGATCCCGCTTTTTAGCGTTAAAGTACCCATTGACGAATGTTGTAAAACTGAGACAGGAAATGTGCTAGTTGTGATGTGGATGTGTTGTTTAGTATTACCTGGCCCATGTACGGAACACAATTTTGCAACTATGATTTTTTTTCCCGTGGAATATTCTAATTATAGAACAAAGACCCTCACCAAATTAATAAAGGGAAACTTACATTTTCGGACCTGATTCAAAATTGCGCAAGTCAATCTCAGCTGCCTTAGGGGCAAGTGAGACTTCACATTTTGTCTCCACGTTTTGTCTTCACATCTTGACTGTCTTCGTTCAAAATGTGCCCCAAAAATATGGCACGGGTGCTGAGCTACTGAACATCCGATTTTATTGACATTTAGCGTGCTCTCGATGTAGCTAAGAAAAAATCAGAAAAAAATGAAAAACGCGTTTTTTATTCTCGATTTTTAGGCACAAGTTTTGGTCTACATGATGAATTGTGCTGCGTCCCAGGAGCAGATCTAGGTTAATTTGAAGGGGAGAGGGGAGTCCATGGATGTGAAGCCCCCCCCGCCCCCCCCTACACACACACACACACACACACACACACACACACACACACTTGAGGCTCGGGGCCTGCCGAAGGGTCTCGAAAATTATTTGGTACTTAAGAGGGCGAACGGTGCCATTTGGTACGGTTTAGAACTATGATTCAGCTAGTCAAAATCATAATTTCAAGAGGGGACCAGAAATCGAAAGGGGGATGGTCAAGACCCCTGACCGCCCCCCCTCTAAATCCGCCACTGCGTCCTACTTTTAGGTGGCTACGTACGTCGTACTGGTAATAAAACCGAACAGCAATGCTCTTACCAAATGTGGGTAAAATGGTGGGATATTGTCGTTTCCTAAAAGAAAAAAATGTCTTAGGGAATGCAAGTAAGGTATAAACCGTGTATTTTTATTATTGTTTTTGTTTTTATTATTATTTTTTTTTGGGGGGGGGGGGTGGATGGGTATGTAGTGTTCCTTTTTTTTGGGGGGGGGGGGAGATTTGCTTTTTTAATAACAAAAAGCGAAATTTGATGACCTGTATCTGTACCGCATGTATTCATAACAGAGATGATTGGAAACCAAAATACTGATGGAAATGGTTTCTCGAAAACATTGGCAATTTCTACCTTTTTTTAAGAAGACGCAAATAATTCATTTGAATACTGCAGAATTAACTTGGGACAGACGAGTTGGGACTGAAGCGCGCGCGCGTGTGTCTGAGTGTGTGAGCACAAGTGCACGCTTGTGTTAAACCGGTCCTATTTCTTACCCATATCATCAAAACCGTTACCAAGTTATGACCAGTCGTCATTTTAGTGTAATTCATTCTGTGAAATCGAATCAAAATTGTAGATGCTCTCAGGCCTACGCCATCATTTGAGTCATAGCATGTCTTTCGGAGCCATCCAATGCTGGGCATGTTAATGTCACCGTACAAAAAATTGTTGAAGTATTCTGTTGAGACAAATCGTAAGTGCTAAATTGTCAGCCCCTCTTCTTTTTTTTTCCTTTGACATTTTCTTTTTTAAATGCCATACTATAGCAAGTTTTTAAAAATATTGTTTGTAAATTCCTTTGGTTCGCAAAATTTATCAAAATATTGTGTGACTTAAAAGTGATCTAAGGCAGATTTTTTTCCGGGACTCAAATCAGGTTACATGGAAGATTCTCACAATTAAGTCAGTGAAAAAAGTAAATGGGAAAGGTAGGCAATGAGAAAAAATAGCAAGGGAAATTTTTATTTGGTTAAGAAAAATTAAAGGAATAAAGAAACAAGAAAAAAGAAAGAAAGAAGGAGCAATACAACAATTTCAAGCCAAAAACGATAACCGATCCGGGAACCAGCGTGACGTCATAATTGAAAAATTCTAGGAAAAGCACATCTGCGCCTGAAAAAGCAATCAATACTTTCTCTTCTTTCGTAATTGTCTCCGTGGCACGCGCGTTTCTATGTAAACTTACGCAACATCTGTTAACCGAGTCAGCGTGACGTAATTCTTACGATTTTTTCGTGAGAAACGCTGTGTCCTATCGATCGTCTGCTAAATATGCGTAAATGCCTATTAGGCAAATTGTACAGAGTTACCAGCGGTCGTCAAGGGCAAATGCAGCGTGAATGCAAAAAGGCGACTCCGGGGAGGATATTTGACCCTTGTTCACCCTCCGTTTATTTTTTAACCCCCGGTCATTGGAAAAACGTCGCTCTTCTCCCCATCGTTCCATGTGACGTATACCCTTGCTCCGAAATGCGCGTTAATACAAAATCTTTTTAAAATTATTCGTAGCGAGTGTGCGTTGATTTTTTCTGGAAACTGTAGGCCCTATCCACCCCCTCTTGTGGTATCCTGGGGCAAAAGAAGTGAATTGTTAAGTGCATTCTTCTCTGATTACCCTGCGTTTCACTGAAACTGGATAGCTTGATCAAATTTGATAAAATAAAGTGAAGTGAAATTAGATAATATTTAAGAGCAACAAAATAAAGTGAAAGCAGATGAAATTAGGTGAATAAAAAATAAATAGAAAGACTTTTTGGGTAGACCTAGGTCTATTACTTTTGTGCAAATGTATTTAAGGAGCTACAATTAAATTTTGAGTGCAAAAATTAAAAAAAAGACAGACGAACAAAGAGCTAAAAATATAAAGATTAGGCCTACTTTAAGAGAAGGGGAGGCTTTATTACTGATTTGGTTTTACTGTTGCTAATTCGTTTCCACATCCAAATCATATTTAGGATGTTAAATTCGTCTAAGAGGAGAATAGGAGGTAACTTCTTAATCATAACAACAAAAAGGTGCGTTTTTATGAAAACCCCCAGAACCCCCTGTCTACACGTCCGCTGTCGTGATGTCTAAACTGTAACACATAACTGCTTTCTGCTTTCGTAAGAACTTGTTTTTCTGCTGTTGGTGCCATCACGCCGTGCTATCGATTGCCATGCCTGTATTGACACTTAAACTTCAATAGCAATCTAAATACCGATGTTTGCTCTGTTACCGCGTTATGTAACTTTTACAGATAGCAACTAAAGTAATTCCTTTTTTCGCGATGCTGGACAAGTACTCAGGGGAGGAGAGTTGGGGGGGGGGGGTGCTGAGAACGTGATGTAATGATTGGGAAAACACAAAACGGGTCTAATACATTTCTGGTTGCTAAACAACGATATTCTCACACTGCTTCTCTCTCTCTCTCTCTTTCTCGTGAACACATGCTCTCGCACACACTTAAAATTAATTTACACTTCCTCGCGCACGCACGAGTTTAGAATCACTGTGTTAGGGCCTACTTTTAAGTTAACAAACGAGCTAGTTACTTAAGCCGAAAATAAAAATGCATATGAATATAAATAAATAAATAAATAAATAAACAAATAAATAAATGGTAATTGGCGAATTTAGCACCGCGCTGCGCTTCTTTCAGAATCACTTAACATCGGCCCTCACTCATATTTCATTACTTCTTTATGCGAGGCAATATGCCGATGTAGATAAGCTGGCGGCGTGGCATGTTTGCGGTTACGTAACTCCTATTGAGAATAAATAGCCCACCTGTCGATTACGTTCTTCAAAAGATAAGAAAAATCTCCAAAAATTTGATCACTTGAATATGAAATTGAAACAAACACTGGATATGATTTTTTAAAAATAATTGGCACGCGTTTTTGATCTGTAAAGGATAATTTTCGTGAGGCTTGAAGATATTGCTCTCTTTGTCACCCAAATTAAAATTACGTGAGCACGTGAGAAAAACGCGTGGGATATCCGGTGTCCGTGTGCGCATGCGACTGACCCATTTATGAATGAAATTTCCCATCATCCAAGCACCTAATTGAATTTCAGCAAGGAGGAAGATCGAAAAGAAAGCAAGGTTTGTGTCCGTTTTCTACTTCAAATACTTACCAGCTTTTCTTTTGCAGATATTATATGTTACGTCAGTACCTTTTCTCACTAACTGTAGAATTTGGGCATTATTCTTGGGCGAATTTTGGAGTATGCAGAGAAAATACACCGGCGCTGTCGGCATTTTTTGTGGCCAGTTTGTTTACGGGGAGGGCGAAGGGCAAGCGACCTTTGCTCTTTTACGTTGATTGCTTCATGGTGGTATTTTTTCAATTACCTTCCCAGTTTATTAGGTAACAAAATTAGCCCGAGAAGAATCGATAATAAAGTGGTACATGTTTTAAAACCCAAAAAAGATAGATCTTCAGTCCCTTTATCTTTTTATGTTGCATCGGGATATTGCATGAGCGGCAATGTCCGAGTAATTTGATGAGCCGGTCGGCTTGCGCTGCGCCGAACACGTAACCGTTAGAATTCCTGTAATTCTTGAAGACGATCGATATTGAGTTGTATACTAATAAGCGAAAAGCTTTATATGAGAAATGAAAATATCTTATTAGCTAATGTGAAATGAAAGTGTGTTTAGAAATGGCCTGATCGAGTCGCTTTGGTAGATTTTGCCGGCAGTAAGCATTCCCATATTCAACAGTAAAAAGAGAATGAGAAAAAATAGTTGATGAATATATATTTTTTTACATTAGGTATCTCTCATGTAAGAGAGAAAAAATGGTGGATTTCCATGTACTTTTTTGGGATCCAAATTAATTTTATCATTTTTTACAGAGAATTTTGTAAGCCAATCAATGCTGTATATTTTCCCCTCCTTTTTTGTTGCAAATATGGATGGATCATGCGCGTTGACTTATTTCAATTTTTTATAGAATGTATCAGAAAATAATATTATAATAAAAAAGAAAATCAAAAAGTGAAAAAATATACAGACAAATGGAGGTATACACCTATAATTGTACACAGCTCAATAAAATTTTTATTAAACTTTACAGAAAAAAATGTGACTTTAATTTTAAGAGCTAGCCTTTGACTTTTTAATTTAATGAACAGAAAAGAAATCTGATTTACGAAATGATTATAAATACAAAATTTGAGAAATGTTTTTCATGTGGCTATTTGATTGACTTCAAAGACATG